TATCATTAACATTCAGGAACAACTGGAAATTCGAGAAAGATAGGTTCATCTTATAGATAAAGGGGACAAATGTGCTATACTCCGGAGGTGGCCCGGATGCCCAGTCGGAAACAAGGTCAGTGATAAGGAAGATGTGATCTCGTAGCAAGAACAGCTCCATGTCATCGCTATTGATATCAAATCTCCAGGTACGCATACTATTCCAGGAGAGAGGAACGGACAGGTCGCAAGCGATCAGTTGCCTTGGACACTGCCACAGTAAAGCGTGATTGACACTGGACATCAGCTTGGTCTCTCGGAGGTCAAGATCGAGCCGGCTCTGAAATCCTGATATAGAAGCTAACATATCCATGCTGTAGCGGATCGTCGAGTCACCAGCCACACGAAGCGATAACCACCCAAAAGGTCGTCTATCTGGACCGATATGACCTTTTTCTCCTTCTGCGCCACGCGACTGCCTCCTACTATTCTGTTTCTTTAACTTCGAGACACCTCTTATGGTATCAGCACGACCTTTCCATTGCCAGTCTTTCGATGGCTCCCTAGTAGGAATTCGCAGTGTGAGCTCATCATTGATCTCGACTCTTAAGGTAAACACTGTGGTCTTTCTCGTCTCTCCGGGATCCAGAGGCTCGGACGGCTCCGAGCTCCGAAACGCATTGGGGAAAAACACATTTTGCAGACCAACTCGTTCCCTATCGGCCCAGGGACCATAGTTGATAGTGCCACCATTGATCTTGACATCTATGCCCCATTCCGGAGGCGGGGCTCCGTTGATTCTCCACGCCGCATCCGGCAGCGATGAAGTTTCCGATGGTGGAAAGGTCTTGACACACCCCGGAACATCCCAGTAGTAAGCCACGGACATTCCAGGACTGTCAAGAATTGTCGAGAATCGACCATACTCAACGGGGCTCCACTCCTCGTGGTCATCCTGCGCGCTTTCGTCCAGGTATCGGGAAAGTCCAACCCAGCGCGTATCACTGCCCAGATCAATTGAATTTCTAGGTCCGGAATCGGCATGCTTCTGATGCACATGAAATGATTCTACCGACGTTTGAAAGTAAGGTATCAGATCACGGATACTGTGCCAGACTCGTCGTTTCTGAAATCTGTAGTTGAAGATAGGATTTCGCTTGTGCTTCATTCCAGCTTGATCCTCTTCGGCTGACCCAAGACTCTTTGCAGCGGCCAGCTGGTTCTGCTTGAAATCTGGATTTGGGCGCATCTGAATTACCGGATGGCTGAAATTGAAGGAGAACACCTGTCGGTACAGGTCGAGCGCCCCAGCATTGCAGGCCTCGATCAAACCAGTAGCACTGTCGAAAGTGGTCGTCAAAACCGATCTCGTGTTCTCATTTCCCATGACAATGGCACCCTTGTCACATTCCAACCTTATCGGCAAAAGTCGTAGGAACCTTACTATGCCATCCCCCAGTTCCTGCTCGGACCCAGCCGCGTCCTGCGATCCAGCTGTAGCTGGCCTCCCTTGACTTTCGGCGCGAGCAGATCCGGCCACAGATGAATCCAGATTCCCTTCCTTTAAGCGCGGATCCAGCGCATCGCTCTCAGGATATTGTGGTTTGGTAGCCGAAGAAGACGAATTCGATGGATCGAATCCCGCCAGTATGCCCTCGTAAGCAGGAGCCCGGTTATATACGAACCACTCAAGACCATAGACCTTGGCTGTGATGCGACAAGGAAGAGCATCCGCATTCTTCGGTCCGCCTTGTTCCCCGCTGTCCGCTTTCCTGCTATCGGCATCGCCCGCGACCCCGGTGTCATGTTCTCTTTTCGCTGCTCCATCATTGCAATCCAGGCCCGCCACGTCTGTCCGTCTCACGGTACGTTTCCAGTAGTGCCATGTGATAAACCCTCCGTGTACAAAGATAGTCTCGTTCACGCCGTGGTATCGGATGCCTTTGAAGAAGATCCTCCCGCCCAAGGGCGAGATCTGCAGGGCTCGAATATCGACATAGGCGCGGTAATAATGCCAGGTATATGCGCGGACTCCGTAGGACACGAGGGTTGCAAACAGTCGATTGAAGTAGAGCAGGAAGAAGAGCACGCTTGGCGAAGCGATTAGTAGCCCGTTCTCCACGATCGCACGCGTCGAACACTCACAGAATACAGGAGACAATTAGTTCCAGGAGGAAGAACCTATGTGTTTATCATTAGTTAAGCAGAAGTCTGCTACATCGATGATACTAACCAATTAAAGCTTGGATCTGGGGTCAGGGATAAAGAAGTCAGGCTTGTGCCGGCCATATTCGCAGTCACCAAAAACGTTCACCAGCAGCGGACATGGTGACGCCGCAAAACAGGCAATGCGATGCGATGCGCCTGCGGAAGAGTCCAAGCAGGGACAAGAAGGATTCAAGCTAGATGTCCATGGACGGAGAAGCGCTGAAAGACTGCCTTGAAGTGCGGGACGATTTAGCAACTGCGAATCCTGGCACGGAGGAGGATAATAAAGGAAATGATGTTCATTAAGGTAATTGGATTGAAGGTACTGCTTGTCATGAACGGAGTAGTAATCGAAGTGTACTAGACGTAAGTTAGGGGGGGCAGGAGGGAGCTTGGCCCGAAGTGGGCTAGAGGGGACTAAGCCTGTTAGTCTAGGCGGTGTCTAGGCGGTGTCTAGGCGGTGTCTACCAAGACGGAGGGGGGGGGAAAGAGGTCGGACCTCGGAGAGCTCCCGAGTCAGCATGACGGGACGGGGAACCAGTGATGGATAAGGAATGCCCCCATCGTCTACGCAACTTCTCTCTCACCGCACAACAACACGCACACGACACTCCTGGCTGCTGTCCATCAAGCATGCGAGGGGCGCTCGTTTGACACCGACAAGGAATCGCTGGAAGATTTCCGATAACTGTTTATCTCTCACCCCGTTGACCGGATCATGCCCTGTTCGAAACACCATTGGGATTAACTTGCGGAATGCTTTGGCGGTGGTCGCATACATAGGCGTACGCGGACAATCAACCGCGACATTTTTTGACGATGAGCATCACCACTTCCTCCTTCGGTGGGACAGGCTCGAGTCTAGCTCAAGCTGTAGTGATAGTCGCTGGTGTATCCTCGCTGGTCGCTTCTCTGCTCTCTCTCTTGTACGAAGACTCCTCGTCCTCCGACCCCTCCCCCATCCTCCCTTCCCCCTCCCCTTTTGAACCCCCAGGCAGACAGATATCATCATCATGGTCCAGATGCTAATCGCTTCACCCCGTACAGGTCCATATGGCTCCAAACGTACGACATCCCATTCGCTCGTATATCTAGATCACGCGCTGATCGGTTGTTAGCAAAAATTATCGAAAACCATTACTCCAGCGTTATGTTGTCCGTATATTGTTGATGTGTGTACCCACTTTCGCCTCAGATCTGAGTGGAGCTGACGGATAGCTCAGGGTCCCCATATACGCGGTCTCATCATGGGCCAGCATCATATCTCTACAAGCAGCGATGTGGCTGGATCCGATCCGTGATGTTTATGAGGTAGATCTCTGTGTTCTAGCGATTCCCATCGTCACGGGCTAACGGCATACTCTCCAGGCATTTACCATCTACACATTCTTCCAGTTGCTTATCAACTTCCTCGGCGGCGAACGGTCGTTGATCATCATGACCCATGGACGACCTCCTGTTCAACATGCCTGGCCCCTCAACCACATACTACCCAAAGTCGACATCTCCGACCCTCAGACCTTTCTCACCGTCAAACGCGGCATCCTTCAGTATACGTGGCTAAAACCCATTCTGGCAATTATATCTATTGTGATGAAAGCGACCGATACCTATCAGGAGGGCTATCTAGGTCTGACCTCCGGGTATCTGTGGACAGGCATTGTATACAACGTTAGCGTTACCGTCAGTCTCTATTCTCTAGCCATGTTCTGGGTTTGCTTGCACAATGATCTAGCGCCCTTCCGTCCGGTCCCTAAGTTCCTGTGTGTCAAGCTTATTATCTTCGCATCTTATTGGCAAGGCTTCTTCTTGTCGATCCTGCAATGGTTGGGAGCTTTATCGAATGGGGTTGCCGGCTACACACCGGACAACCTTGCGGCTGCCATTCAAGACAGCCTGATCTGCTTTGAGATGCCCTTCTTTGCTCTCACTCATTGGTACGCTTTCTCCTGGCATGATTATGCTGATTCGACGATCTCCGCCGCCCGGATGCCCGTCAAATACGCGCTTCGTGACGCATTCGGTGTCCGTGATCTTATTGAAGATACAAAGATGACGATACGGGGTGACAATTACGAGTACCGTCTTTTCGATTCGGGGGACCACATTATCGCACATGCAGAATCTGACTCGCGTGTTCGGCGTGTGATGCATGGTCTCAGATATGAACGTGGTGGTAAAGCCAAGTACTGGATCCCGACCCCTGGGGAGATCAACAGCCGGACACCGTTGTTGGCCGGGTCGGAAGGCAGCAGCCGAGACCGACGCAGTAGCACGCTAAGTCGCATGCATTCACACAACGAGATGGAGGAGACAACTCTGGATGAAGATGACGAGAGGCTGTTCAACAACGCTCGAGCGCTGGAATTTGGGGATTGGAACGTAGGTCACTTCATCCCCTAAACGAGGAGATGTGGTCAGCTGACTGGAGCAGTACCCCGTGATCACCGCGAACGAGGTGCCAGCAGAGCAGCGCCTCGCACGTCAGCGAGCCTCACCACAGCGACAGACATCAGGGGTCGTCAAGAAATCCCGCAAGCAGAAAAAGCCGCGCCCTTCTAGTGGCGATAACAACCATCGTAGCGCAGGAGCCTCTCGCAGCCCGCGTGCAAGCTACGCTGAGCAGAGAGCCAACTCCGCAGCCTCCTACGCCTCTCACCCAAGCCAAATCGTGGATCTTGTTGTCGAGGATCAGAAGGCTGAGGAGGAGGAACGGCAGCTGGCGCAGAGGGCATTTGGCTCCACGACGGTCGAACCCGAACACCGGCACTTCCAGTATGCATCGTCTAGTTTATAGCGAAAAGTATATGATACTAACAACCGATTCTAGGAGACCAACGGGCGAACCGGTAGATGAACGGCATGGCGATGACTTCCACGCATTAATTCACCCCGAGGCAAATGACGAGGAAGAGGAATCCAGGAGACAGGGCTGGGCCTACGGGGACCTGGAAGAAGACAATGTTTGGGGCCGGTAGGTAGCAAAGAGCGAGCTTCAGGACCAATAAAGTTGCATGTGTGGTGATTGCGCCTGGAAATAGTTTCGAGATCATTTTATTTCTGTGATGTGGAGGAGACCTGTACTGTATAAAGAAAGGGCTTGTACGATGAATGAAGATGAGGCTAGTATACCCGAGCCATGTGCTTTTTTTTTATTAACCCACGCTCTTTTTTCTGTCAGGGGCATTTGCGTAACGAGCCCAGAGCAAGTGATGATGGATGATGTGACGGGGTTTCCTGTCACTCGGGCTGATGGTTGGTTCCCCCCAGCAAATGACGGCCAGCCATTACGCGCCCACCACGCTATCTTCCGGATTGATAGGATGATAGGAGGACTGACATGGTCATCATCAATGATGGCTGATCGACAGCCCGACACGCTGGCGAGGAGAGGGGAGACTCGAGAGTGGAAGAAAAGGGACTTTTGCTTCCCCGCTATTGGTGTGCCTCATTTGATTAGGGCAACAGTAATGGCACCACGACCGTCACATCCTCTGCCTCGTCCTGCCCCCTCATTAGTCCAGAGGAAATGGCTGATGCTCGAGCTTCTATCTGAAGCAATCTCGTAGTTTGTACGGAGTAGTTAGTCTCTTTGTGTGTGTGTCTGGGTCTCGGGGAGGAAGTTAAATCACCAGGTCTTTATCTTGCTGGTTCTTTGTCTGTTTGTCTGTCTGCCTGTCTACCTGTCTGTCTGTCTGCCCTTTCCTTCTCCCCTACTCTTGTCTCTCTCTCTCTCTCTCTTTCTCTCTCTCCCTGGAGGCCTGAGAGGGTGCTTTTTGACTTTACTTTCCTTCCCTTTCCTTTCCTCCCCCTCTGTGGTAGCTGGTAGCTGTCAACGTTATTCCTCTTGCTTTCATTCTTATTTTCAGACTCGTCAGCAGGCTTGTCTGACATCTCGTGTTTCTAATTCACTCTGCTTGGTCCCCTCCCCACCTTTCCTCTTCCCCACTGTCTGTTCGCCGGATCCACTGTATGATGGATCAACACATTTGATGCGCTGGCAGCCATGAAGCAGGCAATTGAACAAGCAGGATCTATGTTCACTGGCTGGATATCCTCCTGCTCATTCTGTGTGCACTCCGGGGATGACGAGGAGAGTTACCACCATCATCAACAAGCCATGCAGCGCAAAGGTAATGTCCATCCATCGGTCCAGCCTTGAGTGTATACACAAAAACACACAGCCCTAAGTCGGCTACTTTCCAACCTTACAACACAACCCCTCACGGAGTAACTGACTGAACTTCCTCCTCTTTCCCCTACAGGTGCCGAACGGGAGATGAAGATATGCCACACCCAGCAACCGCGTCTCATTCCCCCGATGAAGCCTTTCGTCTACGATGAAGCTCCCACCCCGCCACGCCCTCAACCCCGGACTCCATCCTTCCCCTCATGGGTGCTCGAAAGCAAGAACCGGGCCAGCATCTCCCTGAAGAGAAAATCGACCGCTGCACCGCCCATCCGCATCAGTGCCCCGTCCGACTTCCGACGAGTGTCGACTTTCCTGCCCGGCGCTGATATTGCAGCCGCAGACGGCGGATTCTACTCTCCGCTGGAGCTGAGCTTCAACGTCCCGGGCCGCCAGCTTCCAGCGCTTCCTCATTTCGATGATTTCCCTCTCGAGACCGATCGTCGTTCCCCGATCAGCACCATCCGGCCTCCGCGATCCGTAGCCCTAGCCGACGAGAACGCTCGTCTGCCTCTGTCTCAGCCTCAGCCCCGAAGCCAACATAGACCAACTTCATCATTTCAGCTACCCCGTAAGCCTGTGGGGTCTGGCTCACGTCGTTCGTCCCTCGCAGCGCACGAATATCTTGGATTTGGGGAGAGACAAGCCACCACCACCGCCACCACCACCACTACCACCACCAACAGCAAAAGCAGTGCCTTCATCCCTCACTTCTCGAGTCGTGGCTCTTCTGCCGTCGCTATCGTGCCAGGCACGAACACAGACGAGCAAAATCCACGCCGACAGCCCAACAATACAGCAGCAGCAGCAGCAGCAGCATCCAAGCCCCCCAGAACACCATCCTACCCCCCCAACCTGCAGGACAGGCCCTTACCAAGCATCCCCACCGCCGAGGAGGAAGCAGAAGAAGGAGAAAACTCCCCGTCATCGCGAAGCACAACCTCCCACAGTCATCCTCCCCGAACCCCCTCCGACGACCGCGAGCGAACCCCGTCCCGCTCCGGCCGCGTCACGCAATGGCTCTTCCATGCTACGAGCAGCAACAGCAGCAGTCCAACCACCACCAAAAACCACTCCCCGGCCCCATCTCCTCCCACCTGGCCGAACCTGAACAAGGAAAACCAGTCCCAAAAGAGCGGTAACAGCCCCTTCCGCATCCGCTCGCGCACCCTCAGCGGATCGACGCTCGCTTCCTCGATCACCAATCTAACCGGAGGAGGCTTCAAGAGCAGCACGGCAACCACCACTTGCCCTGCTCCTGCAGCAGCTGCATTTCCCGCGAAGGGGATCTCAAGCAAAGAGCTAGGCAGTCCGTTCACCCCGCGCGTGCCAGAAGACCGCAGCATGTACCCCACCATCTTTGAGAGCGAATATCACCAGCAGCAGCAGCGGCAGTCTCACCACTCCCACTCCCACTCCCACTCCCACTCCCACTCCCACTCTCACTCCCACCAGGACCAACGCCAAGAAGGAGAGTACGAAGACCTGCGCCAATCCCAGTACTACGAGAACTACCGCCACTCGGCCGTTGGCCTTGCTTTCTGAAGGTTTCCCACATCCCCTGATTCAAAACGCAACGCAACACACTCAAAAACCCTAATCGTCAATCCTCAAGATACATAACAGACCGACCCCCTGAACGGCCTCCTCACCCGGCCCATCCCCCGCAATCCCGTCCAGCTTGGTCTCACTCGTTGTACCCCACCCGCCGGAACCCCCAGTCAAACTCAAATATCAATCTGATATCAATGCCTCTTATGCCCATGTCCATGCCCAATGCCGATGCTAATACCTTAATGCTCTGTTTATACCCCCCCTACCCAAATCCGCTTCTTCTCGAATCACTGATGTAGGTTCCTAAGCATAAAGCATACAACCCATTTGTTTTCTCCCAGCTAAGACAGGCAGGCTGCTAGTTCTCCATACCCCGGCTCCCTCCTCTCCTACCTTCACCGTTCCCCATCACCCTCGCTTACTCATAATGTCTGTTCTCCGTGGTTTTCTCTCGTTTGATATTCAAGGATGATAGTGGGGAGTATCTACAGTTACAGTTGCATAGATGGAACCTAATTGACCTACCATACGCTCGTTTAGTTGTCTGGGCGGTTGCACTTCTTCGGACTTTAAAGTAGAGGGTAGTGATGTTTTGCATGCAACAAGGGTGTATACAATGGGAAACTTCAGCACCTACGAATCATACGGAGAATAGAGATGAAGCAGAACAACATAAATACTTCACTGCCGCAACACGAAACATCTGGATATCTTCAGGTATATAACAATTCCAAATCGAATCCATCAAACGCAAACTGTCCAAGGGCAGCATGTCAATCCTTGCATACACCTTCGTTTCACTTGGTATCATGTCTGAAAAGGGGAAAATAACAGTTTCAATGCAAGAAGAAAAGAAATTTGGCAAAGTCCACCAGCCGCGTATTTGTTTCCCGTATGATATCTCCCTCCAAGGTCCCCTATGGATATCCCTCAACCCTTGGCTTAACTCAACAAGATCAAGTGAAAAAAACAAAACGACAAACATCTGGCGAAAAAAAAAAATGACAGAGAGGAGAATATCACCGGGAGGGCAGACCCAACAAGACCAGGAGTAGGTGACGGATATTGACGGATATCAGCACAACAATCCTGCATTCTTTGAATGTCTTGCCTCCTTTTCCTGTTTTATATCTTTTTTTCCTGTGACGTCTTGATTGCATGCATGCACTCTGTGGTATCAAGAAATATCCGAAACACAAATCGCTGACAACAAATCTCAAAAATAATATCAAAAGAAAAACACTAGAAAGTCTCTTGGGGTATACTGCTGCAAATTGACATTGATTTTAACGCGGTGGCCCGATTGGGGCCGGGTATCCAGAAGTAGAATTGGAAGTACTAGGACGACCACTGTCAAAAGAGGCGCGCGGGTCATGCTTGGGTGTCATGTCCCCTGGCGCGGTACCGAATGGAAATTTCGTGTCAAAGCGCGCGGGCCAGCCATTGCTGCTGCTGTGGCTGTGAGAGCTTCCGAGGACCGGCAGGTCGTCCTCGGCAAGGTTCACGCCGGAATCGTTCCATGGGTTGCGATAGCCACTGTCGCGGGACTCCATCGAAACCAAGGATGCCTTCGACGCATTGCTGGACGCATGCTTGAAGAAAGACCCTGGAGAAGCCGAGTGGTTCTTGCGTCCAATAAACGAGGAGAAGGAAGAGATACTACCAGGCTTGCGCAGTCGCTCGAAAATGGACCCGCGCTCGCTGGTTTCATCGGAGAAGTTGGGTCGGGTCGGAGAGTCGGTGACGAGGGGGGCAGGAGCATGCTGCAACAATTTGGAGTCGAAGAAGGGCAGGGACTCTTCAAACGAGTCAGACTTCGGTCGCGGGATGGCGCCCTTGACTGTCGTCGCGTCAAGTCCGTGAGCCACAAGGCGCGAGATCAAGAAATCGATCGCATCCTTCAGTCCGCCGGCATTATTGCGAGTGTATCCGAGCACCACGCGGTCTTCAGGCCCGAAAGTTGGAGAAGAGGACCCCGAGGCACTGTCAGATGTCGGAAGGTCCGAAGTTGTATCCACGGTGGTATCAACTTCGTATTGTTCCTTCAACTTTGCGCAGACATCTTCACGGAAGTCGGGAGACTTGAAGAAATCTCGCAATTCTGCGGAGCTTTGGAAGAGGAGTTCGTGACTCTCAGGGACCATTCCCTATAACGGTAATTAGATCTGCAACCGCAGAAAAGATAGATAGTACATACCAGTAAGGCGTCAACCGCCTGCGGAACCTGGTATTCCGGTCCAGAGATGTTCACGACGTCACTAGCAAGCTCGGTGCTAGGGAACTCAATCTTGCAGTTCCACTTCTTCTCAAGCTCATCGATTTCAGAGATGCGGGCGAGCAATTCACGGTGATACAGCCGGTTGATGACCACTCGTTCCGAGACATACTCGGCATCCTGTTCCCACATCAGATAAGGGTCACCAGTGGTCAGACAGAATGTAGACTTACGACTTTCTCGACCATGTCCATGATCTCCTGCTTCACCAAGTCGAGACTCTGAGCATTGCGTGCAGGAGTCCGGCAGATGACGTTATCAACCTTGATATCATCGTCCTCTTTGCCCATTCCGCCGCGGTCCATGGCGTTCGAGAATTTGACGAAAACCGAGTATTTCTTCATGATGCGCTGGATATGCTGACCACCGATTCCGATGATTCGCTTGTGATATTGATCGGGCACATGGAAGGAGATCGAAGCGGGCATCTCCTGCTCAACAAGATCTAGGCCGTTCTTGGTGGATTCGTACTGGTTGCCGCACACGTCGATGTAGAAGTTGTACTCGTTGAAACCATCGAAAATGATTTGCACATTACCTAGAAGGGTCAGCCTTTTCGCTCATGCGGCCAGTCACAATCAATGAACGCACTCTGTCCCATGATCTTGTTGATCTTGCCATTCTTCTTGCCACTGACAAACTCCTTGTGCTCATTCGCAAGTTCGATCTTGACGCGCATCTGGTACTGGCTCCGCTGGACAAATGGGATTTGGTTGATCACCATCATCGCTGCCTTGACAGCATCATCTGATCCATTGATGGTGAAAGTCAAGTTGTCAAAGCTGACCTCGGCACCCGAATTGCTGCAGATGTCGGACAGCATTGTACGAACGTCGGCGGCGGGTGGGGCGCGTAATCCACCTTGGGACGGGTCGGGCATGATAATCCACCACGAGGCGCTGTAGAACTGGCCGGCCTATCATGATCTGTCAGTGACACCTGATGAAAAGTCTTCCGCCCGAGCAACGACACCACCTACCAAAGCCATGATCTCGCGAACTGTGCGCTCGACGTGCAGAACCTCTGTGCCCTGGATGCGAACCACACCCCGCTGGATTCCCAGCTGGGGAAAGTGGACGTAAGATCCGTTCATCTCCATCACCTTCCGGACTTTGTCAAGGCGATCAAGCAAAATGTTGTCGATTTTGTTCGAGTTGACGATGACATCCTTCACATAGATCTTGACCCCCAATACCAGGTCCCGCAATTTCTGCTTGGCGCGAGCAATCTGCTCTTGAGTGTCACCCGTGATGTAAACCTCGTCCTCACTGCGACGGTGGGCACCGGGGGGCGTGTATCCAAAAATGCGCGGGAATGGCGGAGGGAAGTAGATGGCCGTTCCGGTCGCCGCCTCGATCAGCTTGATGTTCTTGCGAGTCCGACCGCAGACCAAAGTGTGCATGGTGAGCTCCAGCTTCATGGCATCCACGTGACGTTTGAGCTAAGCATCGTTAGTATCCCGACCGTCTCCTTCGTCATAACAAGCACCTACAATTTGATCAATCATGATCAACACGCGAGTCTTAGCATGCTCCGCGCTCTCCATGTCACCGTAGATGGACACCCGGAACCGCTGGTCCAGCCCATTATCCGACGCGTAGCCATAAGAGGAGATCACAGCACTATCATTGTCGCGAATCTTGGGGTTGAGGAGGAAGATATCGGTGCCAGTGTATGCAGCCAGGGTATCGAGATGCTCCAGAACACTGGAACGGATATTCTTGGTCGATCCGTCAATAATAAGATGGACGTCAACATCCACGGTCGCACAACGCTATTAGACCAGGATCATCAGTATTGAGCAAGCAAGCAAAAGTCGCCGTGGCGAAACAGGGACCATTATTGGGGCCGTACCAGCAAAATTGGAGTCTCGTTCAAGACCCTTGCCCGCATCTTGCGCACAGTCTCTCCATCGCCGGTGATACAGACATTCGTCGCCAATCCTTGGGGTCGTCGTTGTAGTGAGGGGACTGTTTTGGGCTCGGACGACGTGACAACAGCCTCTACTCGACCGTTACTGCTCTCGGTGATCTGGCGACATAACCTCCGCAGGGCCTCGACATTGCTGGCATGGACGGGAAGCTGGTGGACGGGGGTTCCGTCCGGGGTGCCCTCGGGGAAGGACCAACGCTGGAGAGCACCAGGACTCGCGTGCAGGACATCATCGGCATCGGGACCGGCCAAGGTGGAGGAGAATGGAACATTGAAGGAGAGGTTGACGGTAGGGTCAATGCCGGTGGGCGGAGTCATCGGAGGTGCGCCGTGCGGTCGACGAAGAGAGTGGGAGCTCATATCGGTGTGCGGTCGAGACATGCCGAAAGTGGGTGTCATTCGCTCCCAGCCATGACGGGCCTGACCCGTAAAGTTGGAGATCTTGTGCATGACAAGGGCAAGTCGAGTCTCTGGCCCCTTGAACGAGTCGAGGGGAGAGGAGGGGGAGGGTCGAGCAGCGGAGAGAAGGAATGGCGAATAAACCGGCGGAGGAGGGGCAAGAAGGAAAAGACAAGGCGAATGCAGCAGTAGGGGAATCAAAGAGAGAAAGTAGGACGATGAGGAGAAAGAAGAAAGTCGAGGCGGACAGACAAGGCTTTAGTTTGTCGCCAGTCTCGACAGGGATATGGTGTGTTTTGGGGGGGGAGGGGGGAGGGAGGTGAGCGCACAAGGGGAGGAGGAAAAAGGAAGAGGTGGTGGAGGTGGTGTTAAGGTAGAATGGATTGGGGCGGAGGGGAGGGAGGGAGTGGTTAGTTTAGTGGGAGGGAGCGTAGTGTGGGAGAGAGACAGAGAGAGGCAGAGAGAGGGAATGAGGGAGGGAGGAGGGAGACTGAGGGAGTTCGAGTGACAAGACGAAGAAGGGCGCCTTTTTGGGTAATCCGGAATGGGGTGGGAAAAGGCAATCAACCACCTTGACGGGCCAAAACGGGTATCGAGGATGATTGAACCTATAGTGTCTGGGCTGCGGACAACACCAAAAATAAAATAGAATAAAACAAAGCAATGTTCGAGAAGATAGAATGTCCAAAATGAGGACGATAAGACGGCGAGGAGGAAAAGAAGAATAAATCGAGAAAGGGAAATAAAGGAAAAGGTAGCAGAGCAAAGCAGTCCAAAGCAGACTGACTGGGCTGTCAATCAATCAACAAAAAATGGGCGTTGGTTTTTTTTTTGGCCGCGAGAACTTGACAATTGATTCAAGTTTAGTCAGTCGATCAGAGCAGGGAGGGAGAAGAATGAATCAGAAGAACAAGGCGGGGGTGGGAAGAGAGGGAGGAATTCCTCTGGCCGAATTCAGGAAGAAAGGCTTGGGGAGTTCAGCAAGCAAGCAATCAAGCAAGCAAGCAAGCAGCAACAGCAACAGCAACAGCAAGCAGAGTTGGATGAATCCATCACAAGAGTAAAAAAGAACACAACCATCCATGGATGGATGGATGGATGGATTGGATGGAGCGATCTTCTTCTGGCCGGGTGGTCTTCCTCAGGCACCAAACTAACCCGTTCACAGCCAACTCAATCAACAATCAGTCGACTACTCAATCATCATTGATCCTGATCAATCAATCGAATTATCAATCCATCAAGGAGAATTTATTATCGGAAGCTACCTCGTGCTTGGTTTCCAAAATTGCCAAACTGTGTGCTATAAATGTTCTGATCCTTCTCCTTCGAACCACACCCCCAATAACTACTACTAATCTTCATCCCTCCTCCCCTCCTTCTTCATCAGGCGGGACACGGCGGGTACTCAGCCCAGTGTCTAGGCCCAATGCTGGCATTGTCTAGCCAAAGTACGATCGTGACCAGAAGCAGACTAACCCTCACTAGAGTCGATACTAATGAGTCCTGCCTACTACCAGAATAGTAGTCATCATCGTCCTGACTAGTCCAACTAGGGATCAGTCCACCCACCCAGTGCCCCCTTCTTGTCCTCCTAAAATCTACACTATCCCTGATGAATCCGGAGTACAGTTACAATAGCCGGGTTATACTCGAGTCGTACTTCGAAACAGAGAGAAACGAAGCCTGACTCACTCCCTGCCAGGCCGTTTCTGACAGAAGTCCACAACATTCCATCCCGTCGTTCCCCATACTGGGGCAAAAACGGGCTGGAAGGAATCCCGATAACAATGAAAGGGAACGCTGAACAGTGCCCAGCAATCTAAAAGGAAACTCAATTCCTGCCAAAGACATTCCCACTTCTGTTTCTTCGAGGGTCAGGTCAGGTCAGATAGCACTCTTCCTCATGTGAAGAATCGAAGGATGGGCGATGTGATCATCCACCACTGCATTGAATTCCCTGTGCACGGTCCACCCACCTTGCCCCTTTGGGCGCTGCAGGCGACTAAGAGACTACATTCTACGCAGTCACGTGTAGCCATGGTTAAGGCCCCGGGGTTCTTACTAGTAGTCTATGGGTGTCAACATTCAACTACAGTCCAAAGACTGGATTATAAAGTATGGAAATGCGGAGAAAAGGGAGGGTGTGAAGAAAGCATGTGCAACACACACAGAAACTGACTTGCGAGCCGAAGGGCAGGAGATAATTGCCCCCCCCGCCGGCGGAAGTATCCCAGACCCGGTTGTGAACTGGCGATCCAAGCTCGGAAGTGCTGGGAAAGGGCAAGGGCAGATCACTTGAGTCCGGTCTAGCCTGGTGGTGGCCTACCTACCTCTATAATCAAATCAAGCTCTTTGCCGGATTTTCCTTGATAGCGAGCAAGCGAGCAAGCAAGCATGAGGGGACCTTTCCCTCCCCCAACAACAGAAGACCAGACAGGATCGACTCTTACTGGGCTGAACCTCGTCGCGTTGTTGAATTTGCCACGCGTCTGAATCGACCCATCCATTTGCGCTCCTGCTGCCACTGCTAATCACTACTGCTACACTCAATCCTAACACAGCAGTACATACATACATACATACATGCATACCAGTCTGGATCACGATCTCTCCCCGGTAACGGGCAGGAATTTGCAATCTACCAGACAACTACATACTACACCCAGAATATGTACCGTATTTGAAGGGGCGAATAACCCACCCTCAAGCCCGTTAGTTAACTCAACTTACTAATGCATGTCAATACTCCAGACAGCAGCCACTCAGCGGGAAGGGGCTGTACTAAGTAAACCGGATTGGAGGAGAGAGAGAGGGAGGGGAGTGAAACGCCAGCGACCTTGCGTCACCGTGTATCATGACTTGGTCTCCGCCCGGCGAATCCAGGGTGAGGAAGAAACAGTCAAAGTGTCAAGACACTTTTTCTCCCCTCCTCTTCTACTCCGTAGTCTAGTTCTAGTTCCCTCGGCCGTTTTCTTTGTGTCTGTCTATCACGATAATGATCAGCAGCAGCAGCAGCAGCAGCAGCTTGCCCGTCCTAAGTTGAATCCGCATGGGTTTTGAAGAGAAACAAAACGGGGCTCAACGGGAACCCACGGGATAATCCTAACATCGAACAATAAGTTCAAGGCATCACAGGGAAAGACATTTGGCATTCGGTTTCGTTTCATCCAAGTCACACATGCTTAGGCACAATGACCAGCTGGTTTCTTTTTACAGTACTCAGTAAATATCGCCCAAACCTGAAAAGTAAGAAAAAAAAGCTCCCCATAGTCGATCCCATCTCGTCCGATTCGTGGCAACCTCCCCGAGGATGGTTGTTCAAGAAACTGAACCCCAGACTTTTCCCGGGCCGTCTTATCCATGGCACCAGGATGGATGACCCCTCGACTTAACTGATACTTGGAAGATCATCGAATGACTACTTTCCTCCCAGGTTCGTATGCAAATGAACAACATACTAGTGTAGTGGTTACTTCCAATGATGGCAAATTACTGTAACTACCCGACCTCGATCGATCTCGACGCCCGAATCAGCAACGACGTCATTCATCAACCGCCTCACATCGCTCAACCCACTGCAGTGGGGGGTCCGTATTTCAATTCGCCTTCAGTACCTCTGTATCATTGCCATTATGTACGAGCACTCGTATCTATCAATCCAAATTCTTTCATTTTCCAGATAAAGGCTAGAAAAAGAGATACCCTGCAAGCTCAAATGTGATAGGCCGTTCTGGCAGGAGTAGGGAAATACCTTACGCGAGCCTCCCAGCTTGAGAAGTGAGAACATATATGCATACGATGATGGGTAGCTCAATCACCTGCTCTGTATATTGCGATTCGTTTGTCCAAGCCGTCTTCATTGCTTTATGGACTATGAGCATTTTTTGACAAAGGGGGAAAACATACAAGCCACGCAATCTAGGTTTATCAACGGTTCTATTCTCTAGAATTAAATCGGAGTAGAGGGAATCTAGATAGGATGGTGTGGGAGAGAAAGAGGTGCCAAATTCTTTTCTTGACGGTGCACATTGGGATACATCTAGTGTTGCATAATAGGTGAAGAACCACGAGGAACCATGATATCGAATGATATCAGTGAAGAGGTTCGAGGAGCGAGACATTTCATTCGAGCGATGAATTATCATGGACGTGAGCGATGCGAGCAAGGAACTATAGCGGCAGCGGCGGAGGCGGTATCCGTGTTGCCAGCAGAGCGGCAGAAAGCAAACCACCAATCAGCATAGCTGATTACTCTGTGTACCACAGCACCAGAAGATCGAGATTGAACCGTGAATACCTTTTATCTCTCTACTACCCTCCTGGAATGATTCTCGAAATAGTTTCGCGTATACGTCATCTCCATGCATAAGTAGCATGAACCCCGGTCATCTTGCTTGCTTGCTTTTGTAAGTACAATAAAACGCCCTCAACGGAGACGTAAACTGAAAATCGACAAAATATATGGCTTCTTCATCTGAGAACATCAGACGGAAAGAGAAAAAAATACTTAGTACCGCGGAGGAGGAACTCGATGAACTACATCCCCTCGCGGTGCTCCTTCTAATACGACCCGCTCCGGATTCGCCGCAACACTTCCCTCATAATAACGGACGGGCTCCTCGCGCGCCAGAGGCCGCGTCGCAACATACATAGGCCGTTCCACGTACTCGCGCGGCTGCCGGGTCCCGTCGTCCAGATACACACTCACGTCGCGCGCTCCGCCGGGGCGAACACTTTCCACTCGTTGGATGACCTCGCGTGGCTCCTCATACCGTCCTGCTGGGGGACGCACGCTCGGCATCCGTACGATTCGCTCGCGGGGCAGTTCAGCCTCTTCAAGGTAATGTGGAGGTCGGCGGGTGGCGTATTCGGTCACTTGGACGCTGGCGCTACGTGGTGGATAGACATTTCGGTCATCTGGGCCGGCGGCAACGGTCGCGGGAGTGGCGCCCGCATAAGGTCGGCGTTCACTCGGGACTGGGCGAGCGTACTCGGTGACGCGTCGATAAGCCGGCGGAGGGGGCATGTCCTGTACGTACCTCCGACCGCCGAAGGGGTCTTCAACGACGGATGCCGCCCGTAGGCTCGCGTGGCGTAGAGTGACCGCACGGTCATCGTAAAGCTCACCGCGTGGGGCTCGGCTGGCGGGAAGGTAATACTGATTGCCGTGCTCATCGACCACGATCCGTCGCGGAGGTGGCGCCATCATCTGACCCGTGGCCTCTTCCTCGTAGTAAGCTTCCCGTAGTCGAGGCGACATCGGCGATTCTCCCGCAGGAACATAGCGGCGTGTAGGCGGCGGGGGCAGCTCGTCATAGTACCGGACTCGTTCTGGTGCCGGCTGTTCCACGATAGCGTAGGATCCTGCGCGCAGAGAATGGGGGCTAGCTTGGTCAATATACTCGCGGGCATATTCAGGTTGTCGAGCTTGATGCTGGAGACTGGCAACTCGTCGAAGATCTTGACCGTCGCGCATCGGACGTCTCACACTGAGTCTGGAGACGGTCCGTTGAGCGCCAGGATCTGCATGATGAGCGTCATAGATTTCATACTCGTACCCTGGCTCTCTCATAGGCGGCTCCCTTCTCTCGATCACGGGAGTATACTGTGGCGAGGCAATGTCTATGTACACAGGTCGCTCCTGAAGTTGGCGGCTTCTGTACGTCTGTGGGGTATCTGCAAAAGGTGGAGGCGATACGGGTTCTTCCTTGATGTATGCCTCATCGGCAACCGTGGTGGCTTGCGCCTTATACGACGGACGAGATCGGTCTCGATCCTCATGCAGTCTCCTACGCTTTCTAGACGTCAAAGGATAGGCGGGTACGTCAGGACTGGCGTGACGCTCCGGAGCGTAGTCCGAACGCGCATGTGGGACCGACGACACCTTGGTAATCGCCAACGGAGAGACCCTAGACGGTTGTGGAGCGGCAGGCGAAGTGATGTGGTTCCGCACGACTCGGACATCATCGGCAGGCGAGACAGATTGTCGAGCGTAGCGGGCTCGTTCAACTGGTCGACCTTCCGGTGCACGTCGTTTGGTTCCGCCCGCGTACTCCCTCTGAACCTCGTAATTGTCTTCCCTCTCCATGGGCGCGACTCCGGGCGCAGGCGGCGAGTACTCCGGTTCTTCGAACGCGTCAGGTGGTTGGTTGTGGTTCGGGTACTTGCGGGATGCGTAGTCGACCTCGCCATGGTGCGGCTGCCTTTGATCATAGGGTAATCGATGGCCTGCCACGGGGTAAGTATCTTGCATATCCTGATCCGATCCAGTTCTGTTGAGGGCCTCAAGCCGTTGCAACTCATCTGAATAGTTCTCTACTGGGACCGCAGCAGCAAGCTCCTCAGAATTGGATTGAGGTGCTGGAGATGGTTTTTGCGGTTCCCCCTGCTGAGGCGAATCAGGAGCTCTACTGGAATAGAACGAATTATCGTCAAAGGAGTCGCTGGGCTCTCCATTGCCACGGCCATCGGCTGATGGAGAAGGGTTGACCATCTCGAAGGCCTTGACGAGCACATCAGAAACATCGAAGTCCGGCTTCGCGTCCTGTAGAGCAGCCTTCTGCCTTGACTCCTGCCTTTTTTGCTCCAGCTGCTCCCGTAACGCCCGTTCCACCCGTTGACGCTGTAGCTGTAGCTCAGCTCGCACGAGATCGTCCGACTTCGTCAAGAAGATCGGATCAATTTCCGAGGTAGGGTTGGGGATGATACGCGACGCCCCCGTCACACCCGACGAAACCCCCCCAACGCCACCGCTCTGAGAGTTGGCCGGTTTAGCATTGGAAGGGGCGGTCGGGACCTGATCCTTGGGAGAAGCCTTCTGCCATTCTCCTGGCTTTACCTGAGAGGGAGTAGAAGAGGCAGGGGGGTTGCGCGAAGCCGTCTTGCGCACAAATTGCCGAGGAACCTTCAATCTAGGGTGAGTTCCAGAAAAGATTTCGTCACTTATTTTCAGGATCTTCTCATACTCCTGCACCTCCTGATTTGTTGTAGGTAGCCTAGTAGGTGCACTACTGCCTGATGTTGAAAGCTGAGCTGCTGCCATAATTTAGGAAAAATGACTCTCCTAGGCAAGAATTATGTTGGCCGTGAGAGTCGATAGATCAAATCACCTGAGGTTTAAAGCGAGCAAGTTCTGCTGCGTCACCCGTCCAGGTTGCAATCTTTAGATGCGGTATAAGTAGGACAGCTTCGCCAATAGACTTGGACCAGCTAGAGTCTTTTTTTCTCTTTTCCTTTCTCTTTCTGTACTTATCTTTCCTTTTTTTTGTGCTTTTTTAACATGTATAAGGGAGAGTGGGGAGAGGAAGGGAGAGGAAGACAAGGTGTCGAGCCAAAGGTGAAGTTGCGGAGAGGGAAAAGAAGGACGCAGCCAGCCGTGCTGTTACGAGTAAGTTACTCGAGTAACTTGCCGCCGAACGCGCTAAACTCGCCGGGGAAAAGCCGTCCTTGATTCTCCCCGACTCCCGAGACAACGAGTCATCATCCATCTTACTGAACGATTGCAGTATTACTCATATTCAAATTATTAACTAACTACCATTCACGAACTCCCCTTAACCACGGCGCATAGGGTTCGGCTATGAATCGTCCCATTCTACGCGCCTGTTATCGATCATCTTTTACTTCTGGCGCATATCCTGCTACCCAGACCCTTTTCTCGACCCCGCGATTTCTGACTCCCCTCCGCGCTGTTCTAATCCCTCGGAATCACCGCCAACTGCCCCAGTCCCGACGAACCATGACCACCACCAACAATCATCAGTCGGCCAGCGCGCCACGGGATCCCAGACCAATCTTCTTCTTCGACATTGACAATTGCGTACGATCTCCCTTCTCAACATCCCCATGGGTTCACGTTGACTGACCGCCGTCCCCACTCAATGACTGCAGCTGTACTCCCGAGGTATACAACACCGAAATCTCAACTCCACCATTCCACGAAAGTAAACCGAAACCAACTAACCGGGCCCCGCGATCTGCGCGCGCACAGAATGCAACATTCACGATGAGATGCAAAAGCTGATCAGTGAGTTGCACCCATAACTACAACTACAACACCGACAACCAACAACCAACAACCACAACCACAACCCGAACCCCCACGCTCAACCACTCACTGTACTGTACACCTCACTAACCGAAACTCCAATCTCCTTTGCACAACAGACGCCTTTTTCATCAAGCACCTCTCCCTCAGCACCGAAGATGCGCACCACCTGCACATGAAATACTACAAGGAGTACGGGCTGGCGATCGAGGGGCTCACGCGGCACCACAAGATCGACCCGCTCGCCTTCAACCGCGAGGTCGACGACGCGCTGCCGCTGGACGAGATCCTGAAGCCCAACCCGCAGCTGCGCCGGCTGCTCGAGGACATCGACCGGAGCCAGGTGCGGCTGTGGCTGCTGACGAACGCCTACGTCACGCACGCCAAGCGCGTCGTCCGGCTGCTCGAGGTCGACGACCTGTTCGAGGGCGTCACGTACTGCGACTACTCGCAGACACCCCTGGTGTGCAAGCCCAGCCAGGTGATGTACGACAAGGCCGAGCGGGAGGCCGGGGCGTCGAGTTCGGGGGAATGTTATTTTGTCGGTAGGTTGTCTTTCGTCCCTGGCGCATTGCCTTGGACCTTGTAAAGGAAAAAGGGGTCGTGCTAATAACTTCGGGTTTGATTGGTATAGATGATTCCGGCTCAAATTGCAAACACGCGGCGGAGCGCGGCTGGGCTGTGGCCCATCTCGTCGAGCCGGGCGTCCCCGCCCCTCCCGAGCCGGCTTCCCAGTTCCAGATCTCCAGCCTTGAGGAGTTGAGGACTTGTTTCCCTCACTTGTTCAAGTCGCGGGCCTGAGCCCTTTTTCTCGTGATTGTATAGAAGCATTCCTTCTTTCTCTTTTCGCGTATAGCATAGACTTTTCGTATAATTACACGGCCCACGGGCCTTGAAGACGCTATGAAGTATACGAGTGATGCTGTTTTATATCAGATTCCTGGGTGCTGTTTGGCTTTGATAAACAATATATATCAATCAAGTATGGGCAGCTCCAAGTGACGCTACTGCTGCATTGTGACTAAACATCCAAGCTGAGCCCACTGTCCCCTCCATCGGACCCAGTCTCTCCATCTTCCGTCTGTAGAAAACGAAACCAAGAACTTTCAGAATCCGCACAGCCCCGACCCATTCAGATACTTAACCGGATAGAAGACCTTGGGCGCGCCCCCGACGAAATCCACCGGGATCACGCCGCCCGTCGCCGAGACGTGCCGCTCGCAGCCGAGCATCTCCATCACCTCGGTGCCCGGGTGATACATCCGCGTCACGTTGACCTGGTAGTTGCCAGTGGCGGTGGTACTGCCGCGGTTGGAAAACGCCGAGACGATTTGCATCCCCTCCGTGCCCTTCCGGGTGATGTAGGTGGATCCGTCGAGGTAGAGGGTCTCGCTGTGGTTCGTTGGGTAGCCTTGGTCGATGAGCAGGGCGTGGCTGCGTAGGTGGTTGAGGGTCTTGGTTAGGATCGTGGTCGTTGTTGTGGAATTGTCGGTTGGCAGGGACCAGAGGGGGGAGTTGGGGGTGGCTTGGTTGTGTTCTTGGCCTTGGTAGACTGGTTTGTGCCGCGGGGGTTAGTATGGATTGTTGGTGGTTTGGGAAAATGCTGGGACTGGGGCTGGGTCTGGGGCGGGAATCCCGGGGACTGGGCTTACCCATGGGGATTCCGTCGGTAAGGAGAGTGAATGCTAGGGCGTTTTGAGCAAGCTGGATCATGTTAGACTGGTATGAGGTTTCAATTATGCGCTGGATAGAGAGGGGGGATGGGGACGGGGATAGTCTTGAGCATGCGGGTTGGGCGAGCTATGCACTGCAGCATAACGTCTACGTGTATATGGGCCAGTCGGCGATAGGGAGTAGGAGGAAAGGCTTACTGCGGTATCATTTTGGATGGAGACAAACCGCGGGACATCGTGATTCTCGGCGAACGTCGCCAGATGGGTGTAGTTGTCACACTTCTCGATGGCCGTCTGCAGACTGTTCACCAGCCCAGGCATGTCGCCGGCGGGTGCGAAAGCCATGGTGATGGGCTTATAGACCGCGTAGTTGACCAGGCCCGAGACCGCCTCGTCGTACTGGCACATCGTGGTGGCGTCGACCGAGTCAACCTCTCCCAGCGTGAAGACCCCGGCGGCACGGGTGAAGCCACTCAAGAATTCGGGGTCCATGTGGTTTGTTGCAGCGACCCGGAGCCCGTCGATGGAATAGTTGCTCACGAGTTCCTGGACCCAAGTCTGGAGCATTGTCGAGACGCGCGCGTCTTCGGTCTTCAGATCGGGCAGCGCGACGGGCTCGCTGGACAGCCAGCAGCTCTGACTTGTGGCTGCATCGCCTGCCTCGCTGACGTTGCAGTAGGGATGATAGTAGCCCTCTTCGTTGAAAGGGTGCAATCGCGAATAGTCGATCACTGAGGAGGTGACGGTAGTGTTGTCGGTGTCGACGGCTTGCGCCATGTTGTTGAGCACCACTTCCACCATCAGATACATGTCCCGTCGGTGTAGCTCCTCCGCCAGCGCTCGCAGGTCTTCGGCTGTTCCAAAGTGCGCATTCAAGGCGTACAGGTCTTGCGGCCAGTGGCCATGCCATGCCTCCCCTGCCGATGTGGTCTCGGGGATATTCTCGACGACTGGAGAGATCTGGATTGCTGTAAATCCTAGGTCTTGAATATAGTCCAATTCGTCGATGATACCGGCCCATGTACCCCCGCAGTATTTGGTGGGATCGCATGATGTATCTGGTGCGTTATTGGGGCGCGCGAAGCGGTCGGTCAAGACTTGCTAAGGAGGGGATGAGGATGCTATGCACAGTGGAATCAGAAGGCAGAGAGACATACATAGATCGAGCGCTGTGCCCAGTCATCGGTCGAGGGAGCTGCCAGTGCTAGGCTGGCTATTGTGGTTAGAAGTCCACCTGTGTACATGAGGCGGGCCATCTTGTACAGTCTTGCTGGGAAGATTGACCGATGTCTGGTGGTGTAGAGCTGGAGGAGAACTCTTAGGTATTTAGAGGTCCAGTGGAATTGCCGGCTGAATACCAGAACAAGCAGGAAGCGATCGTGATGTGAGGAAGCAGAACTCTGGCTCTCCCCGTAAAATTGCTGGATACTGCATCTTATATATGGTAGTCGAGCCCTTGCTGTTTAGATACAAATACTAGTAGTACTAAGGCTTCATCTCATTGTCTCAATGAGAGTAAGATGTTTGGGTTCGCCCCTCACCTTTTGGGTGAGACAGACGTGCATACAACAGTATGAAAACCAGGCAGCTCAGCCAGTGGGCTTCAAGAATGTGGCAACAGTAAGGGATGGAGAAAAAAGAAGCAATGTACGGAGTAGATTTAAATTATGTTGTTGTCGGCCTCGAGCCGTAATGCGGAGGATGTCTGTGCATGCCTCAGGCCCATTAACTTTACCCCTGTCGCGTCCTCAGGCCTCTCTCTAAGGCTAGCAACAATCAATCCACTCTCCGTCCCGTCAACAACAATAACGAAGTACTCCGTACTAACTTACCATCTCCATTCTCTCCCCCTCTTCCATCCTCTCTCCCCTCCTCTCTCCTCCTACTAGGGCAACTCTGCGTCTGTACAGGGTCTCCCACCCTGACGCATGCTTCAAGATGGCTGAACTAATCACCGGCCATGTGGTCACGCTCACCGACGGTCGGCAGGCCACCGTTCGGTTTGTGGGCACAACACACTTCGCGCCTGGCGACTGGGTAGGCATTGAGCTCGACGAACCCACGGGGAAGAATGATGGCGCCGTACAAGGCGAGAGGTACTTTGACTGCGAGCCAGGATTTGGCATGTTTATTCGTCCAACTGCCGTCGACGCGATCATTGAACAACCGCCCGCACGGCCACCACCCAAGCCCGCCGCTCCGAAAGCTATCACCACCGCTCAACCCACTCCGGCCCGAGGCAGAGCTCAGAGCGGCATTGCCGCTGGCCTCAAGAAGCCCAATGCGATCGCAACCGCCAACACCAAACGACACAGTGCCGGTGCGGCAAGCCCGACTTCCGCGCTGCGAGGCGCCGCTCAGCGCTTGTCAACAAAGGTAATGCATGCATGCCTCCGGATGGGCTGGCCCGGAGAACTCTCAAGCTAATGGCTGGCGCTTACTATAGTCTCCTACGAAGTCTCCGACGAAGCAACTGTCGGGATCTGGGCTTTCCTCCAATCGTTCCTCTCTTAGCAGCACTCCGCGACCCGCCGCAGCCACCCCCAAAGCTCGCCCGTCTATTAGTTCCAAGACATCTATGCCCCCTCCGCCGCTCCCATCAACAATCAATCGCGCCTCTCGCTCTTCGATATCAACACCCGCATCCAAGACGAGAAGACCGAGTTTGCACGCTACCGCATCTGCGCCGACGGGGCTGGCGAAACGCCCTGCAGTGCGACCAGCGGTCCCCGGCAGAGCGTCGGAAGATGTGGCGGGTGAAACGAGCCCTCTGTCAGAGGACCCAGATACTGAAACACTGGATGTCGAGGGCGACGGGGATCAGGATGACCCGGGTCTCAGGTCTGCTAGGCCTAGTCCGGGCGCCTCACGGACAGTGAGTGGCAGCCAAAAGCAGCCACAGCCTTCGTCGCAGCGTCTTTCGACCGGTGGCGCTGTATCGCGAGAACTTGATGAATTGAAAACCAAGCTTCGAGTAATGGAGAAGAAACGAGCCGACGATCGCGAAAAGCTGAAGAACCTGGAGCAATTGCAGTCGGATCGGGACAAGTTTGAGAGCATCATCCAGAAGCTGCAAGCAAAATACCAACCTCAGCAGCTCGAGATTGGCGAACTACGCAAGAGATTGAAGGAGTCGGAAGCTCGGCTGGAGGAAGTCGAGCGTCTTCAAGCCGAACATGACTCAATCCTGGAAATGGCTACGTTGGATCGTGAGATGGCGGAAGAAACGTCCGAGATGTTCAAACATGAATGTGAGACACTGCGACTGAGGGTTGAAGAGCTGTCGCTGGAGGTCGAAGTCCTCCGAGAAGAAAACGAGGAGCTTGGACAGGCCATGACCCCCGAGGAAAAGTCAAGCCACGGATGGCTGCAGATGGAAAAGACGAACGAGCGTCTCCGCGAGGCCTTAATCCGTCTTCGCGACATGACTCAGCAGCAGGAGGCTGAGCTGAGAGACCAAGTCAAGGAGCTCCAGCAAGACCTTGAAGACTATACAGCTATCAAATCTCAGTATGAATCGACGAAAGAGAAACTACTTGTGTCCGAGAACAATGTTGAGGATCTGAAGCAGCAGCTTGAAACCGCGCTGGGCGCCGAGGAGATGATTGAAGAACTGGCAGATAAAAACATGCGCTACCAGGAAGAGATCAACGACCTCAAGGCTGCAATCGAAGATCTGGAGGCATTGAAAGAGATCAACGATGAACTCGAATACAACCACATAGAAACAGAGAAACAGCTTCAGGAGGAAATCGATTATCGGGAGAGTCAGTGCAATGAACAAAACCGGAGAATTAATCAACAGGAAGAAGTCATCGAAGACCTCGAATACACCTTGGTCCGTTTTCGAGAGCTGGTCTCTACCCTGCAAGGCGACTTGGAGGACATGCGCGCATCGCAGCAAATCTCCGAAGCGGAAGCTACCGATCTCACCACGCGCTCTCGTGCCATGATGGACCTCAACTTGAAGCTTCAGGCATCCGTTTCCAAGGCGCAAACCAAGACAATCGATATCGAACTTGGTCGTATGGAGGCGGAAGAAGCAACGCAGCACTTGTCAATCCTCAAATTGTATCTCCCAGAGTATTTTGACAGCGAGCGTAATGCTATCCTTGCGCTTCTCCGGTTCAAGCGTGTCAACTTCAAAGCCTCGTTGATGAATAACACCATCCGCGAAAAGGTTTCAGAGCAAGCCTCGGTGTCTACCGCAATTGAAGAGGTCTTTGTGGCGAGCGAAGTAATGGAGAGGTTACAATGGATTGCTGCTCTCTGTGA